ATGGAGTTACAATCATAACTCTATAATTATTAGAGTATTGGGAGTTATGGAGATAACGGAGAAGAGTAGACATCCACCATAATTTAATTTTCTTATAACATTCCTAAAATAGTTTCCAATTTTGAGCGACGGTAGTCCTACTCCTAATAGGGTTCGGACTTGGGGGAAAAAAGGGAAAAAGTAGAAAAAAGCATAAATTGTTATAAATATATTATATTATGGATGTTCATTTAGTACTCCGTTGGAAATAAGTCTTCTGAAGAAACTTATCCTTTCGGTACTCCATTATGGATAAATATTACATCTGGTAGAAGATTATCTATATCTGGTACAGTAGCACCTTACAAGTAGCTTAGAGTAGCAGCTTACACAACAGCTTACAAGCAGCAGCTTACACAGCAACTTGCAGTAGCATCTTACACATCAACTTTCTTTCTTCTATAAATAGAGGAGAATTTAGTTCATTATGCACATCAGTTTGAAGTTGAATAAAAATATCAATCTCCCTCTATACTTGTTTTCGATTTATTTACTTTACAGTTTATATTTTATAACATGTTATCAGCACGAGACTCTGCCATCTCGAGCAAATACTCCAAGGTACGAAGTTTCTTTTTCTAAATATATGTTTATCATGCATGTTCATCACGTCTTTCTAGCCAACTAATGATGCAGATGTCATTTTACTTGGATGCGGTTTCACAAAATTGGAGAGAAAAATTGATTTTACTTAAGCTATTATATGGTCGCGAGACTACACATGAAGTTTATGTGGCAAATGGTTGGGGACTATGTATACTTATACAATTGCTATTTTTGAACTTATTTTCCTCCTTGATCATTTAGTGAAGGATTAAAAGGTGAATAACAATATCAGATCCATCTAAACTCCAGCAGAGTTTATGAGAAATATATAATTACCAACAATGGTAGTATTTCCTAAGTCTCGTTATGACTTAACTTCATGGTTCACTTGAACTCCAGCAGAGTACGCCCACCAAAAGTGGTTATGTTTCATATATCTCATTGTAACTAAATTTTGATAACTACCAAAAGTGTTATATGCCTATGACCACCAGAAATGATAACTTAAGCTTGTATGGTTACAATGAAGATAAGTTAGAGAAAATTCTCTATATTATATGCATACCTTGATTTGCTTCTGAAGTAGCAAATATCTTAAAAGAGGTTCGAAGCATCACAATTTGATGTGATTATGCACGTTCAGATAATTATGTTCTATCTCCTGAAAGAAGAGAACTTTTGATAATATTAATCCATTTCTTAAAGTGAATGTGACAATATTAAATATGAACACGTTGTTGATGTAAATATATTACGATTCACCTCCAGGAGAGCTAATACGATTGGGAGAATATATTCTCAATATTTCATATTTTAAATTTCTCCTGAAATAGTAAATAATTAAAATTTCCTCCTGAAATAGGAAAATATTATGTAGTGGTAAAAAAAAATTATTAAAATTCTTAATTTTCATCATTTATAAATTTAGAATTGTCTTTATATTGTTCATTTGATTATGATTTTCTCTCATGACACCAGAAGTGTCTGAACAATATTTAGTAGTACAAAATTTATCAAAAGCTCCTGAAGATCTAACTGTTTGTCTAGAAGACATATGACACTAGTAGTGTCAGATAAATATTAGATTGTGGATAATAAATGAAGGTTCACGAGGAGCTTATATATAAATATGTCATTCATATTATATGGTTACAGTCAATATATATGTTGTAGTAAACCTGAAGTTTATTAATAAATGGCTATCATATTGGCAAATGACTAGAAGATTGAAAATCTTCATGTTTTCACAATAATAGGGGGTAAAATAATATGTATGTAATAAGTGACCCGCCTTATTCTTTAATTTGTACTATATCACGTATCACAATAAACCAGAAGCTTACTAATGCAAAAGCAAGCAGTCACAGTAAACCAGAAGTTTTACTGAGGCAAAAGTTGCTACTGTAAACCAGAAATTTACTGATACAAAAGTAGCCACAGTAAATCAGAAGTTTACTGATGCAAAAGTTTATGCCATAGTAAACCAGCAGTTTAATTAGAGATAGCACATGCCATGATAAACTTGAAGTTTTCATTTGCCATTTTTAAATGAGCTATTTGAGAATTCAGATAAGCATGTACTAAAGAACTAGAAGATTCTTCAAGAATTCTCTTGTGTTGCTCGTTCTCGTAATATTGATTATACCAGCTAAAGTTGGGACTACAATTCCTGAATTCTGGAATATATAAAAGGTGAATATGGGCCCATTCACCTATCACATGAACCACTTATAGATGCATATATGAGATGGTTACATGTGTGTTTATTGTCAACCTGCAGTTTGGCATTTGAAATTGCCTTTCTCAATTAAGAGCACAATTTTCAGATTATGAAATCAAGATAGTTCATCTTGATGATGCTGGTTTATATCCAAGCTAGTTTAGCATTGCATACCTTCTATTAATGGCTAAACTATTGCTTATGAGAATAAAGCCTCATATGTTGGTCTAAGAATTTCTAAATTGCATACAACAATACTTGTATGCATCAGACCAATAAAATATGATAAGTACTCCCCTCACAATTAATTTAGGATCAGAAACCAAATATTTTTACTATCTAATAACTTTTGATGTGTGGTATATGATTAATTTCTCTACCATAATACACAAAGATAGTTTTTTCAAAGAAGATTGGGGATATGTGTTAGTTTTTCTAACATTTGAGGATGGAATAAACAGCTGGAAAATATGCTATATGAATCGAATTATCATTAATATGATCCTCACTTAGAAGATAATTCAAGTCAAATGCCAGAAGTATTTGTTGATCCAAAATTAAATATCATATTTTAGCTGTAAATGCTCCCATTAAAATTAAAGTCCCTGAAGAATAAATTTTACTGCACGCATGAAGCGTAGTAAACCGATCGGTTCCAAAAGTAACAATCCTTGAAAAATGATAGGAGCAAATGATCAAAATGAGGAGAAAATGAGCTCTAGAAGAGCCCGCGACATAACATTTCATGAAACTCCAGAAGAAGTTCAGGTACCTGAAAATAAGGAAAGTGATGAGATCTCAACAAGTTATGTCGCTTAGGAACCGATACAAAACGATCGTCGACGATATATTTGATACAATATTGTAAAAGATTGTGAGGATCGGACCTGTAGTCCAGACACCTGCAGATGCCATGCCATCTAAATGCAGGTCATAACCTATTTGACTAATTTGATTAAGTCTATATGAAGATCCCTGAAGGATTTAAAATGCTTAAAGCATATAGTTCAAAGCATCGTGAAATATATTCAATCAGATTATAAAGATCTTTGTACAAGTTAAATCAATCTGGGCGCATGTGATATAATCGCCTCACTGAATTGATGAGTGGAGGTTACGTAAATGATGGCATTTGTCCATGCATTTTTACAAAGAAAACAATATCATAGTTTGTTATACTTGTTGTTTATGTTAACGACATAAATCTCATAGGAACTCCAGAAGAGCTCCAAAGGAGAAAACTTTGTCTTAGTCTGCAAATTGAATATTTACCAGACGAGATCTTTATCCATCAATCTGTTTACACAGAAAAGGTCTTAAAACGCTTTTACATGGACAAAGCACACCCATTAAGTACACCAAATGGGTGTTCAATCACATGAAGTGAATAAGGATCCGTTCCGACCTCTAGAAGAGGACAAAGAACTCCTTGGTCCTGAAATACTCTATCTCAGTGCAATTGGTGCACTTATGTATCTTGCTAATGCTAACGAAGGTGGTGCATATCATATTGGTTGTGCAGATGCAAGTTATTTATCCGATCCCCATAAAGTTTGTTCTCAAATCGGGTATGTATTTACATGTGAAGGTACTGTCATATAATGACGCTTCACAAAGCAATCTATTGCTGCTACTTCTTCAAATCATGTTAAGATAATAGTTATTCATGAAGCAAGTATGGAATGCGTATGTTGAGATATGTAATTCATTTTATTCGAGAAAAATATAGGTTGGAATGTGATAAAAAACCCACAATATTATACGAAGACCATGCATAGCCCAATTAAAGGGATGATTTATAAAAGGAGATAGAACGAAGCACATTTCACCAAAATTATTCTACACACATGATCTTCAAAAATTATGGTGACATCGATGTGCAACAAATTCGTTCAAGTGACAATCCAGCAGATTTGTTCATTTTGCCAACTTCAACTTTTGAGAAGATGGTATGCAAGATTGGAATGCAGAGACTCAAATATTTGGAACAAGGTTTTCATCGGGGGGGGGGGGGGGAAAA